TGCCTGCCCGCCTGTCTACCTGCCTGCCCGCCTGCCTGCCTGCCTGCCTGCCCGCCTGTCTACCTGCCTGCCCACCTGCCCGCCCGGTCTTTTTTCATGACATGTCGGCAATGTGGGCCGTGACTCGCTGCTGCCACTGCTCCTGTCGGAGTGTAACCCTCCAGGGGTTCCGGCTGTTATTGTTCTCAGCGAGTGGCCATCAGCCACTTCCAGACACCGGCAAGACAACCGCACAGATCTCGAAGCCAAGGCGAGGCTCGGAAAACCGGCTTGGATTTTAAATTGCGGTGCCGGGACACAAAACAACGGGATGAAATGTTTCAAACAACAAAGCTGAAAGTGACAAGAAGACTCCACAACGGAATAAGAGCTTTGCAGGAAAATAAGCAAAACAAACACGGTTAAGCTGAATAATAATACAAGTGGAAGGTAAAGCCAATATGTGGATTTGTAAAGGCAGGGTAGCCACACGCATGGCAGTGAATATCCATCACAGTGAATATCCATGGCAGTGAATATCCATCACATTTTGGGGATCTGAAATATTTGAAGAGACACAAGACCCGCAAATCAAGCGTTCGAATAATAAACAGCGCTCACGCCACACAGCCTCAACGCAACACAAACACACACAAGCCGGCAAACTAAGACCAAGAACACCCGTATAGCCTTTAACAGGCTGTTGAGGCAAGCGCTGTTACCGAGCACCTATGAAGGCCAGAACGGTACACGAGGGGGTGGGTGGCCAACACCACCCCCGACCGCCTTTGTCTCCATAGTTGTGATATTTACACACCGCACCAGAACTGGTTCAGATAATCGTCACTGGTGGTGGCCGTGAGCGAGAATCGAACCCTGGTCGCCGGGTTCATAGCGCAGCGCGCTAACCGCTACACTATCGCTCCCCATGTGTATGTGTACACGCGTGTGTACACACACACGCGCGTGTACACACACACACACACGTGTACACACACACACACGTGTACACGCGCCAACGGCACCTGTTCCCCCGTGCTCGCGGGCGCGCGCGGCCTCAGCAGAGCGCGTGCCAAGCGCCGCCTCATTTCCCTCCCAGCTTCACAATCAGCGCGTCAATCAGCCGCAATCACTGCCACCTCGACCCTGACACGGGCGCGGGGAGGGGGGGCTGGAGACCCCCCCCTCCCGCCCCCCCAAACCACCCCCTCGCCAGACGGCGCGGCTAATGGGATACCCCTCCGAGCTTCATCCCGAGGGAGTGGGGTCGGGAAGGAGGTGGGGGGGGGGGGTCGGACTGAGCCCCCCGCCCCTCGCTATGGGGTCAAGAGGTCAGGCGGACACTGCGGCCTGGGCTCCCGCTCACAACCGACCGAGGTTCGGTTGCCGCGGTGACGTTTGGGGCGGGACGGGGGGGGGGGGTGTTTTAAGGGGGAGGCGCCACAGGGGCTCGTAGGTGACGTCACAAAAGGGGGCGGAGTGGGAGTGGAGGGGGGGGCAATGCCCCCACGACGAAGGCTGAGTCGACCGTGTGGTGACCCACGTGCTTTAGATGGCCCCCCACTAAAGAGGCACGTGGCCAGCAGCGCACGTGCCGAGCTCATAGAGGTGCAGGCGCAGCCCTGAAGTTCTTTCTCGCGGCACTGCTGACAGAAGGGGGCTCCGGCGAGTCACTCTGTTCGGTACTTGGCCTACTCTTCCACGCTGGACAGACGTCGAGTAAAATATGGGAGTACTCACACTTTACCCACCACACGTGACCTGCCTATAAAATAACAGCAAAAAATCCATACTCGAGGTGTTTTGGGTTAGATCGCGTAAATATATAAATGTTGTGTCGTTAAACCCGCCACCACCCGACACAGCCAATAAGTAAGGGTTGTCACGAAAACAAAACGTGCCAATTCGTGTGTTGGCGAGTAAACCCCACAATATTAACAATTCCAGTACGACGATTCGTCAATAGTAACGAGCATCATCAGGCGACAGCATACAACAACAGTATAGTGTTCCGTAATGCATATTGTACCACACTGATGTAAATACGTATATGGGTTGCTTCACGCACTTTCACTTCCTCGCATGCTCTGCAACTCGCTCCAGCCACTCTCTCTCGCGGTCGTGCAGTCGCTCCCCTGTCCCTCTTGTATCGCTACTAGCAGAGCCATGGTTCTCACTGACCTCATGCTTTTGACAAGTCCACCCATAGCAGGGGTTCATCGGTGACCAAAATCACCCAGATTGTACCCAATCCTGCCAGATCTTGAAATCAGAGCAGCATTGACCGTGGTTATCAATCTGACGAGGGACGGCCCGTATCGTCGACTTGGTCGTGATGTGGCCAGCGAGGCTCTCTGGAAGAATCACGGGAATTAATAAAGTCATCATATCGACTGTTTCCTCTCACCCGCAATGTGTTCTCCGGCTATATCGCAGAACTGCCAACTTACTCACGCTGCTCAACTTTGGAACTCCCTCCTTCCCCCAAGTCCTACAAACTTTTGCTCGTTACGAGAAACACTCCGACTCTTACCCGCTACACTGTCATGAGCTCGCTCGAGTTCTTAAAACTTTTTCTCACTTCAAGGGGCGCGTTCCTTCCCATGAGTTGCTGGCCACGGTGCATTGGGGGCCTTCAGGCCTACCTACACTCAGCAACGGCGATAAAAAAATAACAACAATAAAAAAAACTGTCGCCTTCCCAAGAACGCTAAGATACTTTGTGATCAAAGGGGGGTATATCCCGGAGCCTGACTCCACACGAGGATTGACGAGCGAAGGAGCGCTCTGACTGACGGCGAAACAGCCATGAAGGGGATGGATGGAGACACTGGGGCTGACTCCGGTGAGCATTGGCCCGGACACCCAGAGTTTACATTCAGGGACTTGTGTTGTTGTTGTTGGTCAGAGAGAGTTGCCACGGACGGGTCGTAGGAGCGGTGAACTTTAGTTTTAGAACCAGAGACTAACGGGTAGGCAGACAACGAGCGAAGCAGAGAGGTGTACACCATGAAGCACAGAGACACGGCGGCAGAGAGACAGCAGACGTGGAACCAGAGGGGTGGCCGGAGCAGTGGGCGCAAAGTGCAGGAGGACCGAGACCGTGTCTCTGTGCCCCACAGCACGAGTGAGACCAGGGAACAGGAGACCAGGGAACAGGAGACCAGGGAACAGGAGACCAGGGAACAGGGCTCTGGGCCCCGTGTCAGCGGCTCTGGCAGAGGTCTTACCACAGGTCTGATGGGATCTGGCTGACTCTGCAACACGCCTCTTGCAAATTCGTTACCATCAGCAGCAGCTGTCATGCTCTATCCACTGCTGGTGGAAGGCCTCCCGAACCCGTCCCCATCTCTCATGGCCCTGCGATGTAACAATCTATCCAGCAGCTGCCCGCGTGGCGATTTAATCGCTCCATCTCCTTTCATTTGGCGTCCTCTAAGGAGCGTCCCATCCCCTTGCTTCGAGTCCATCGTCAGTCTCAATCGCTCCTCGCGACGTGTCCTGCTGAAGCCCACTCGCTTTTCTTAATACATCAATACGTGGTGGGTCATCTGTGCGCACATTCTCCAACAAGAAAGGACGTGGAGAAGGTGAGAGAGCTCGAGACCGAATAGAGCCAAGCCCACGGATACGCGCTGTTCTTGGAGAATCAGAACAAGACACGAACCACACCGGACTGGTTTCGTAAAAGAGCCCGGCACGGCTCGGCTCTGCTTTCCAGTGGTCATGGAAACGCGGCACAACCGAACTCACTCCAGCAGTGGCCACGTACACTGCTGGAAAAACGAGTCATCCTGAGAGCTGACTTAATTACATTTCTAATCAGAGAATGCCAGCTATGTTGGGAACATTTCAATAATGTCTTAATTAAAATACATTTGTAATTTCCTCCACCCCCACCTCATCATCAGACAATTCATATAATCTTGGCTTATGGTCGCCCAACACGAGAACGGATTGTGGCATAAAACCTTTTTAGACGTCACTAATTCTACTCTAACTTATTACCAGGAATTCAATCATTAATAAGTAAGAAAAAATTAGTTTGTAGATGTCATTACAAACGTGGCGCCATGAGAAAGACACGCGCGCCTGCGTGGACGTCTCGCGGAGTGACGCATCACCCGAGTGGTCGAACATTCCGCGCGGAAACAGACATCACAGAACTACTTCTGAGCTCTTTTCAACGGGGGGCCCTTAAACTCTCCCACCTGCCCACAGTCAAACTGATATTTTAATCCTCAGCGGCAGCATTAAACGACATGAAGTGGTTTAAATAAACATATATCATGATTTTTTTTTGCGTAGAGTAGCGGCGCAGCCGTTGGCACTGCGCTACGAACCTGACAACCGGAGGCAAATTCTCGGCCAAGGCGAACACAGTACCAGCGAGTGGTACATGTAGAGAGTGGTACCTGTACTGATCCTAGCCACTCTCAACCCCGACGTCTCACTAACCCTCATTGATCAGCGCGGTGAAGTATGGTCAAAACAAACAACCCCAAGACCCATAGAGAGTGGAGATTAAGGGATGTAATTTTATTCTGAGATATTTTTAACGTCTCAGAATGAGGCTCTCTCTCTCTGTCTCTGCGAGTGCGAGGGCGACTCCTGTGCAGCGGCGGCACGATTCGAGCTGAAATTCTCTTGATTATTATTCCGACTCTCTCCAGGTGTAACCAAGCCAAAGTGTCACTCAGGGCTCATTATGAAACCAGCCTCCGTCATGGGCTTCATGGTGAACCCCAGAGACGAACCAACGCGGGTGGGATGCGCGCGATCCGCTCCACCGAACATCGCGAGCCAGCAGGACCCGTCCTCCTGTAACATCGCCACCTACTCATCATCATTATTATTATGATGATGAGTAGGTGGGGAAATCAGCGCGTGGCGTAGGATGCGGTGGCGCTCCCGGGAGAGTGAGTGAGTGAGGAACTCCGTGGAGCTTGCGAACCGCTGTGACACGGACACAGGTTTGTTCGCACTGGCGCGGTGAGTGGGCGCGCACGCGAGGGACATACCTCCCCGACTCCAGCCTGCAGGATGTGCAGCCCCGTCTCAGCCTGCAGCTCCTCCCGCTGACGCACTGCACACACAGACACAAAGGTTCACCATGTAGCCTACATAGACTGGCGGGGCAAGCGCTGTTAGCGAGCACACTGATGAAGACAAACACGGCGCACAGCCGCCTTTGTTTCTTCAGTGCTGACGTTTATACGCAATGCCATGTACTAATTTAAGGCTGAGTCGACCTAAGGGATGCCCTGGACCGGTTCCAATATTCGCCACTGTTATTGGTCGGAGGCGGGAATCGGGTTGATAGCGTAATGCGTTAACCACTGCGCCACCGCTCTCCTGCACCACTGAACCCCCACTCCCCACACACACAGACAAAGCGAGAACACTCTCACACACACATACGCACCAGGTGCACGTGGCATAAAGAAGTTTGTTAATGCCACGTGTGTCAATTAACCCATTGTGTACGTGTGCATTAACCCACGAGCGTGCAACAGCACCGCCGATGTGCGCCATCGCGGATGAGCCAAGCATTCGATCGCGCACAGCAGAGCGACATTGAAACGCGGAACCTTGCGGTCGTCTCTTTATCATTCACACTTCACTGTTGGTGGCTTAACACCTGCGCTGACACATACTCAGGCTCCCTGCAGCTTCAAAGCTCACACCTACTAATGAATACTACGATTAAACATTGTCAGTGCCTCGAGTGTCCTGGTTGGCTGCTGGCTGGCCTCCTCCTCGCACCCCGAGGAGGAGGCCAACTCCGTTCTTGTCGTGGCTGCTGAGGACAGTTGCCACAGAACCTAGCTGGGTAACTGGATAAAGGGAATGTTTCAGTGCAAAAAAAAAATCAACATTGAGTTGAAATTAGTCGGTGGAACAAGACGTGCGAAAGAGATGTAGTAGTAGGAGTAGTGATGACGATGATGAGAGACAGCGACATCGATGAGGTGGGAGTAACGAATACTAACGACTGACACGGTTCGTTTAAAATTGCTCAAACTTTAAATTATTTAGTTTTTTTCAATTCTTTCGCCAGAATGTGCTTTAAATCACAGAAAGAGAGAGAAACCCTCATAATACATATTATCTTGCCAATGTATTACTACATAAAAATTGTCAGATGGCTTTTAGTGCTCCGAGTAGAGGGTCGTGAGCAGAGTGAAATCACAGCTGCCTCTTATTGTTCATTGCAGACCAAGGCGCTCTCCACTCGCAACAGCAAAGACGCCCATTGCGTACCCAGGACAGCCTAGTAAGAGCCTCAAGGCTCATTTTCAGGAGGATCCTACTGCTACACGGTGGTGTTTTCTCAACTATTTACACGAATGCTTAGCTTAGTGGGGGCAATGAGGGGGGGGGGGGCACTGAGAGGCCCCCACCGCCCCACCCCCCAGGGTCGCTCCGTGGGACTTCCGCGGTCGTTGTGCCGCGTGTCGAACCACCCGCGGCACAACCCGCGGCACAACACGTGGGAGAGCGAAGAGCCCACTCACGGGGCTGCCGTCTCCTGCCCACACCTGGCAGCCAACACCGAGGACACCTGGCGTGCCGTACGTCGTCTCCCGGAGGCACACGTTGGTGGCGGCCGGGGCAAGGCGTCACCCCTCTGCCCATGCGCTGCTGCTGCTACTGCTGCAGCCCCACCGACACCGCCCCACCAGTAAGTCGGGGCCACAAGGCACCGCTGCTCGCGGCGTTCCCTACAACCCCCCGCCACACATTCAGGTGGCGCCAGCCTCGGGAGGGGAGTCGGGGACAGCCACTCCACCGGGCCGCCCATCCGCTCTCGCCGCAACGACGACCCCGCACCGCCCTTGCTAGGGCGCCGGCTGCGATACGCGGGCTGCGCTACGCCGGGCTCAACCCTGCTCAGCTTCCCAGACCACACGAGCGGTTTGGCAGCCGGCTGTTTTGTTGCTGTTGTTTTCGACACTTCACCCGGACTCGTCCATCACGAATCCTGGCCCAGCGCTCACCCCCCGCCCCCCCCCCCATGACGGCTCCCTCCCCACTCGTCCCCGTGCCCAGCACCCCGAGCCCAGGGCTAATGAGCGGCTGATGAAGGCATCGTCAGCACAGAACTAATTGGGCCTCTCGGATAATAACGCTAATCAAGGAGCAGAATTCACTCGCAGATACACGCAGTACGTTGCCCTTCTGTAAGCTGATTAAGTGCGCGTTTGATCTTTTGTTTTGGGCCCTCTTACATATGTATACGTATATAATTGTATATACATGGGAGTGTTGTCTTTAAATGACGGCGGGATTCAAAGGATGTTCTCTTGAATGGTGATTTCAAGTGGCGTGTGTGCGTTCGTCTCACCTCACAAGTATCCCTCTTCATTTTTTATTTCATGTTTTACAGAGGAAGTACATCACCATTTATTTTGGAAAGTCTGAAACAATATTTACAATGAGATGTCGGTGCGACAAAACATCAAGAGACGTGCCCCGTGCCGCTTGTTGCAGAGGTTCACGGTTCGATTGCAGTGGCCGCCCTGGTCATTACTGCTGCAGCTCTATTAACCCTGACGACAACAACAATGATGATGATGATGCAAGTCACATCTCGCGTGTGAAGCACTCTGAGACGCCCCAGCGTAAAGAAGGGGGGGCTGTATCATTGTCATCATCTTCATCATCGTCAATGACCGCATCTTTCTGTTGACATGGCCACAACACCTGCACAGACCACCCTTCCCTGCTTTTCCGAGGAGTCCAATCAGCAATGCCTGGGACGTGCAATGCCTGTCCATGTGCCCGTGTCTCCATCCGTCCGTCCGTGTGTTTGTTCATCCAACCATATTTCGCGTGTTTTCACAACAACTACAAACCCCCCGACAACAATTGCAATCAAATTGATCACACGTTTGGCCGATTCCAAAGGCCAGATCCGTAGAGCTTTTGGGGAAAGTTGGCAAAACAATACTTAAGGAAATACATTTATCACGTCAATAAAAATAATCTATGCCTCGAGATGTATGGCTGGGCTCCTCACCACCACAACACTAACTCTGGTGTTGATTGCCGGTCGTTACTACAGAATCTAGCTGGGTAACTAGCTACATGAGGGTTTCCGTGGAACAAATGTATGTTGAATTGAAATGGCAGAAGAATTTCGGAAGACATTTAATAAGAGATAGCGAGCTCGAAGAGGTGAGAGTAATGAATTCAGAAGAATGACATGGTTCATTTTAAATTGCTCAAACTTGTCAATTTGTGCTCCTGCCATTGTACTCCTTTCACCAGAATATTTTAATTCTAGAGAATAAAAAAATACCTCACAATACGTATTATCTTACCATTTAATTACTTTAAAAAGCAGATTACTTTGAGTCTTCCGAGTACAGCATGTTGCGAAGAGTGTTGACATGTTAACAGATGTCTCTCGTTTCCCCTTGCAGATCACCATCGCGCGTGGTGCAGCACGCTGCTGGGTTTGGGAGTGCGCCATACACCCCATGAGCTGAGTTCGATGCCGGGCCACGGCTAACATCAGTGGCGAGGCGACTTCTGAACCGAACTCTCGCCCCCTAACCCGCCGCTTCACCAACACGCACTCCATAGCGAGGAGAAGCATTTCGAAATTGCGTTATATAACATACAACGCACGCGATACATCCTTGTAGATGACCGTACGAGCAGCAGTGATCTATCCACTGCTGGATCAAACATCCACTTGCAATGCCACAATTCCACTTTCTTCTGCACGAGCTGACGTCATCGCTCCGTCTCCGTGGCGGACTCTCCTCTCGTGTGTGTCCCTCCACCTGGCTGCCATTTCATCACCAGGCTCGTTCATCGGCCATCAGCAGTGTCCAGCGAAGCGTCCTGCCCAAGCCCACTCCCCTCTCCTCCTTCATAGCCGGCGCGAGACCTCTCACCTGCGCATCTCCTCTCACCCACGTGACCCTCATCTCCGCCTCTCACCTGCGCATCGCCTCTCACCCACGTGACCCTCATCTCCGCCTCTCACCTGCGCATCGCCTCTCACCCACGTGACCCTCATCTCCGCCTCTCACCTGCGCATCGCCTCTGACCCACGTGACCCTCTTCTCTGTCTCTCAGCGTCATTCCCAGTATGCGTGTGTCCGCGCCCTTTCGGCTGTTGCTCTATTTCGCTTTGTCAGTGCCCACGTGCTTCTGAATCACGCGTCACAGCAGATTCACGCATATCGATTCGAACCATCCGTCCTCAGGCACATTGGCATGCTGTCTTCCATTATCAAGTTCAATTTTGCCAAAGTACTCCAACACTCTCCCCTTGAGTTCATCATTTTGATCCTAGACCTCCTTCAATAATTGCCTTCGATGGTGGAAAGCGCCGCCTCCAGCCCTCGTTATCCACTCTGCCTCTCTCTCTCTCTGGCCTCTCGATTGATGTGCTATGAAGAAGGCCCATTGCCCACGAACACGACGTCTATTACACCATTCGTCGTTTAAAGCGACACTGCTATTGACGAATGTGTTGAGTTTTATTCGTGAGATGTGCAGAGTCCGTCGGGCGTTTCGGCCGTGTCTCTTCAGCACTGGGATTTCTTGGGCAGACTTGCTCGACTCGTTTGTGACTTTCGTTTTCCGTCTTATTTATCTGCAGCCCAACTTTGGCAGCCTGAATGTGCCGCTGTTGGCTGTCGGTGCATTATGTTTCACTGAAGGTGGCGGCGAGAAAAACATATATAAATAGATATGTCAATGTTTCCGCAGAGACCGTCACGGGAAATGTCAGACACTGCAAACGTGAGTGTCGTGAGAGAGCACCCATCAACGCCTGGCGCGGCACACGCACGTGGGAGGTGTCGTCAACGCATGTCTGCTACTGATCATGTGCATACGGTCCGTAACGTGATGGACTATCATTCGGAGTGTTAGTCGGAACAGCCTCACTGAGTCTCAAGACTCTTTTTCAGGAGCGTCCTGCCAAGTTCATGACAGTAGGGTGGCGATGTTGTGCTGCGTCATCCCAACTGAGTACATTGAAGGAAGTGGTTCATCCTTTGGCCGCTACCAGTTACAATGTATGGGGGTTTTTAGCTTTGGGAGGAAATTATAGAACCTAGA